GGGGGGGGGATTTATCAAAACTGAAGCAGACAAAATCTGGAGTAGTTGCCCATGGCAACCAACCAGCTTCTCCAACTACTCCAGATTTTGTCTGCTCCAGTTTTGATAAATTCCCCTCTTTAAAGTATTAGTACATTTTTACATTATATTACTTAATGACACTTTCAAGTGTCCCAGCTCTCACTTTTAACAGCCGGGAATTGCTGAGAGGCTAAGAGCCCATTTACACCTGGGCGGTTGCGGATCAGCGTGGTTACCGCGCTGATCTCAAAAGGGAGGTTTTGGGAGTGTGTAATTGCGTTTCAGCACTGAAACGCAATTAAAAACACCCAAAACAGGTTTGTTAGGTAGGGCATCTCATATGCCTACGATCCTCAAGTGGTTAAGAAGGATGCCAGAAACAGTCTACAGATTATATTTTCTTAAGAATAATTGGATGGCAACACCCTTTGCACCTTCTACAACACCTCCTTTCCTCTCACTGATCACGTTTTCAGTTTCCCACTTTGTATGCAAACCTCTAACCCAAGCAGTTACTCATAGGAACCTTCACCATTTCTAAGACAAAATATCTTCCCTGTCCTGACCTGGCCACTACTTGCAGCATTTTGATCGAACTGCACCGGACCGGATCGCAGGCACAATGTGCCTTGCGATCCCGTGTGGACGATCGCATTGTGGCCGGAGGGCGTGGCTATGGTGCCATTCACTTTAATGACCTACCACGCTCCCTTCTGTCCCGCAAAAAAGTGAGCCGGCAAGCAATGCGATGCAGTGCATTCTGGCCAGAATCGGGCCGGAACGCACTGCATCTGGTGTCAACTAACCCATACTATTAGACCCTTCTGCTCCCTTTGATACAAGTGACCACTTGCTCCATTTCTACAAACTTCACTCCATTAGCCTCCAAGACTATGCTCTTTCCTGGTTCTCTCTTCTATGTATCTAAATGCTCCTACGGTGTCACCTACAACTATCTCCCTCTCCTCTTCCTCAGGGTTCCTCCAAGGCTCTGCCCTTGGACCCCTTCTATTCTTTAAAATCCTCCCTTGGTCAGTTGATTGTCTCTCATGACTTCCAATACCATTTCTATGCTGACTACACCCAAATCTATCTCTACTCCTCAGCTCACCTCTTCAGTCATCAGTATGGATGTCACACCCCTTCCTAAAATTCACTCTCTGCAAATTGAGCTCATATTTCCTCCCCTCAACTTTTCTATTGAAGTCAATATCACCCCATCATTCCCTCCTCTCATGCCAGGGTGCTATGTGTGATCCTGAACTCTGACCTCTCCTTCAGGCCCCACATGCAATCACTGACTAAATCTGTTCAGCTTCACCGCGGTACAATTTCCAAAATATCCCTCTTCTTAACCAATGATTCAACCAAAATGATTATTCACGCTTTTGCTATTTCTAGACTATTGCAACTCCCTCCTTATTGGCCTACCATTACACAGGTTAGTTTGCAAGTGAAAGAAATGTTGATCCAGACCTCAGAAATTCATGCATGTTCATGTAGAGCCAGTTAGATCGCATAAAAGCTGTGCATATGTCACTTTAAATCAGCTAGTCCTGATAGTTGTACTTCACTTGATATGAAGATGGCAGAATTCTGTCTACTTCAGATCAGACTGCCCAGATGATGTGGAAGGGAACCACATAGTGTGCATAGTTTAGCAGCTGACAAGTTCATATCCCATAGGTGTGTTCCAATGTAGATAGGAAAAAAACACCATATCACCCAGCAAGATACACAGAGAACTCCACTTGTTTCACTGAACGCGTTTTCGTCCTGTAGCATGGGCTTCTTCGGAGGGACGTGGTCATTACACAGGTTATACCTCTTTAGTCTATCATAAATGCTGCTGCCAGACTCGTTCACCTTACCAACCGGTCCGGGTCTCCCTGTCCCTTCACTGGCGTCTGCTCGCCCACTGAATAAAATTTAAAGTACAAACTACAACATACAAAGCATTTTGCAACTCTGCCCCCAGCTACATCTCCAACTTCATGTCAAAATATAACCAAAACCGCACCTTTGCTCTTCCCAAGATGTCTTGCTATCTAGCTCCCTTGTCACCTCTTCCCATGCTGCAGGACTTCTCTAGAGCTTTTCTCATCCTCTGGAACTCTATACCCCAATCTGTACAGTTATCCCCTACTCTGTCCACTTTTTCAATGATTCCTGAAAACTCATCTCTTCAGGGAAGCTGATTCTGCATCCTCGCAAAAAACGAACTTTTATCTTCTCCATTAACTCATTCCCAACACAGTTATTACCTTTTGTATTACTTGCCCCTCTGTTTTAGAATGTAAGCTCTTATGAGCAGGGCCTTCCCACCCCCCTTGTCTTGTCTTGTCTTGTAGCTGCAATGTTTCTCCTTATAATGTAAAGCACTGTGCAAACTGTTGGCACTATAAATCCAGTATAAAAATAATAATTGTAGTTTAATTTTAGCAAATAAGAGAGAAGCATGAGGATTCAATATGCTGTCTATAACCTGACAAATTATCACTACCCGTTCAGATCTGTGCGTTGTGGTAAAGTACAGAAAAAAGTGCACAAGAGGCTTGAAAATGTTTGCTAATGCTGTTTGGCACTTAAACAGTTTTCCAAAGATAGAATTTTAACAAGACAATAGGCTAAATTGACAAATCTAATACATGGGATAAGGATCCTTATTTTTATAAAAGTGACAAGTTATTTTCCTCCAATGAGGCTTAAAAATTACAGTCAAGGGAATGGGCTGATTTAACACAACGTATGTTAACATGCAACATAAGCTTGATGAATTGAGCATAACAATGACTCTGAGCACCATGAACAATTGTTCTCTCCGCACAGAAAACTTAACAGCTGTAACTGGGTTGTAAATCTAATTTAAATAGTTAAAGTTTTTCTAGATCCCAGAATTTGTTTTCTTTGAATAAAAATAAATCAATAATACGGTATACACTGCCGCCTCCTGGCCAAAAAGTCACTTTAATAAAGGTAATCTTTCATCTTGAAAATATGCAACGGATTCTGAATATAAGTTTTGCTTCATACATTCAAAACAAGAAGAGAAACTCTAGATTATTTGTAAGCAAATGAGGCTGATTGTCTCTGAGCTTCCACAGTCATCACTGTCTATATACTGGATTGAAGGTTCCTCTCCCAAAACTTCTGGGTAAAAGAAAAAAAAAAATAACTATTTCCTTCCTGTTCTCGTGAGAGTCAAACAGATGAAACTTCCATGCTGCACAGAGGGCTGAGTGAGTAAACAAATGTCTATTAGAACACAGCAGACTCTCCGATTAACAGAACAAGGTGGAGACAGATACAGGGGAAAATGTGGAATGTCAGGTTTCTTTGTGATTAATGGAGAGGGGTAAAAAGAAACAGGAGATATGAACGTGAAAGAGTGGAGGGAAAAACAGGCACAGATATAGTGACAGACAGTCTTGGGTATTATATATAGAATTCTACAGCTATGCTCCACCGAGAAAATCCTGGGTTTAGCCCCTGTTCAAACTTGTGCGGGTGCGACTGCGCATGTATGTGTGTTTTTCTGTGTTGCGTATAGGACAGCACATTCATTTCTATGCACAACGTTCACACCACAGAAGTCCCTCTTTTTTTTTTTTATATGTGCCATATAAAAAAAGTTAGGTTGTGGTCCCGTTAAGAAGGAATGGCCGGGTAAAGTGTCTAAAGCTGGCCATACACCTATACAGGGATCCCGACCTGAAAAAATTAATTTCAGGGAGGTGCCCTTCTCATTTCAGGGAGGTGGTGGGGGGGAGTTCCCCCCTGAAATTATGTCAAATAGCAAAGAAGCTATTGCTTCCCGTGCTATATGCTGTTTTGTTTTTTTCAGTATTCTGACAGCTGCTGCTGTCAGAATAAAAAAAAAAACAGCATAGGAATGAATGCTAGATTGCGTTTGGCTATTTCAATTGGCAATAGCCAATAGCAAGCTGGCTATTGCACCCGCCGTCTGCTGCTGACAATCACCAGAGGAGGATCTGATGCCTACATCAAATCAGATTGTTCAGGTATTTTGGGAGCCAGCGGGGCCGACTAGCAAGATACTGAAGCTTGGCCCAGTGGGAGATTGCTCCATCCACAGAGTTTAGCGTAGATTGAGGAATCTGTTGCACTTTTTCCATCTGACCATAGAAAATCTGCAGATAATCTAGGCTGGGTTCACACCTGGGCGTTCGTAATATGCGCGTTTACGAAATCCCGATAATGCAGTGAAATGGAGACGTGCTGAAATACACCTGAAAGAAGCTCAAGTAGTATTTCGCGCGTTGGGCGTTTTTCAGCGATTCGATAAGTGCTGAAAAATGCCCAGGTGGGAACCATGCCCATAACAATTAATGGGATTTCACTGTTTGAACGTTTTTCAGCGCTTTGATCAGTGCTGAAAGACGCCCAGGTGTGAACCCAGCCTAAGTGTATGGTCAGCTATACACTTGTTTCAGTGTGCTGTGGCAATGCACGTGAAAACACACGCCTTCGCAAGTGTTGCCGCAGCGCACAGATGTTTAAGATTACTGGGGTGCTGGATAGGGTTGCCACCTGTCCCAGATTTACCTGGACAGTCCGGGTTTTGAGTCCTGTATGTGCCGCTTCCAGGACAGCTGGCAACCCTAGTGCTGTAGTTTATTGCTATAGGACCCAGTTAGGTTTATTTGATCACTTAAAAGCTGGAAATTGGTTGTTTGTCAATCTTATCTAATCTTATCTCCGCAGGGAAAAAACTCCACCTGCAGTGGGGCCTTTCCTTATTTTACTATAGAAAAACATTTTTTTATCTAATTCCAGGATAAGGATAGGTAAAGAAAAGGCAAAGAGCAAGTTATCAGTTCACAAGATTTTCGGCAGGAACGACAGGTATTTTTTGCATTTATCAAACTGTTATGAAAAAAGGCATATTTATCAAACCAAAAGCGAGCAAATAACAGATGTTTATTGTTAGGATTTACATAGACTTTAAGTAAGGGGTAAGCTTACTTAGGTTCCATATTACACCTATATTTAGGGTGTAACATGAAATATGGCCAGATCGCCAACCCGCTTACCTGAATTACAGGGTTCTTCTTCCTGCAGGCTCCTGTCTTCTTTTTTTTTTTTATTACAGCATAGCTGTATGTGGCTCCACTTGCACAGGATCTATGAATGGAAAGACTACAAGTGCCATCTGCCACCATAGCACAGGGACTTGTAGTTTTCAATGAAGTATATGTGTGGTGATGTCACTGCACTTGTAATCCATTGATACAGCCTCCCGCCCTGTACCTGAACTTCATAACCACCGTATAGACAGGGACTGGGAGAAAGAGTCTGCAGGAGCCTGAGCACTGCAGCCACAATCCACTGATTGCAATTGCAATGTTTTGCAGGCTTAGATGCAAAACAATGAATTTAAAAAAATCACATTTATTCTGTTATTAATGTGTGTGCATTTTTTATTTTTTGTAAAAGCTGGACTATGCCTTTGAGTTGCAGAAGTCAGAATGACAAATATTTTCCCTTCACTGTTTGATTTCTGGTCCTGGTACAGTGTAGCATTAGCGACAGTACTGTAGTATCATGCAGTAGTAGTTCTTGTAGTACACACATGATGCTACAGGCAGCACTTTCCTCTGACCTCGTCATTAGCGCAGGACCCACCACAGATTGAGATGTGGTGTTCCCCTCTTTTCCCTATATCAGAATACTATGAGACACAACCAAGGAACACTTTGCCACATACTGCTTCAGGTCATACACTAAACAGGTCTGAATAGGAAACTTAGCAGGCAAACAATGACTACTGGCTGCTGATGCCCAAGTGCCACACAGTAAATACTAAAGAGCCATGGGTTGAGAACCATCAAAGCCAACTCACATAGGAGTTTGGCTTCATTATTGAGCCCACATAACAGATAAGACAAATGTTTAATCAATGCATTGTTCTAACTGGTTTAACATAATGAAAGGTGAACTCTAATTGGTTCCTAAGGAAGTATATTGCACATCATTGCTCTTAACAGATTTGTTATTTTTACTGCCCCATTACATGGGTTTGCAAGTATCTGAATGGGATTAGTGGATGGCAAGTCAACCTGCAAATACTGCAAATATTTTCTGTTCTGAATATCTCATAAACTATTGACATTTGAAGGCATTAAAATAAAAAATATATAGTTTTGATTGTGATATTAAATGGCAACTTTTTTCTTTTGACCTAACAAGATAACAACCTTAAACATGGAAGAATGCCCCTGGATATTTTCTGCCAAATCATTACCATCAGACTGTCGTCTAATGGCAACTGTGGCCAATGGATATCTGGGGACAAGGATCTATGGAGATGTCCTGCACGTGAACGGAGTGTACAATGGGTCAGTAGGTGACTGCCATAGAGCAAGCGTCCCAAGCCCTCTCAACATCCAGCTGGCCATAAGTAAAGAAGAGATTATAGATGAGACCTTTTCTCTGAATATTAAAACTGGTAAAGTATGTTTTAGCTTTTACATGTAAACAAGATGTCTATTTCTATCTAAAACGTGTAGGTGGTATTGCCAGTTTAGTCTATTTATGCCAATATTTTTTTATTCATTGATATGCATGTGTATATACTTTAGTATTCTCCTGATGGGAAATACAGTATATACACTTGTCTCTTGTTTCCACCATCCTTGTTTAATTTTTTTTCTGAAGCATGACTTTTACATACATACAAATAGTATTCATTTTATTGTTTTGTTGTACCCACTGGCAATATTTTCCCTCATTCACTTTGTGGTCATAGAAGGAAGTGAGCAGAATCATGAATGGTGTTTTGTGTAGCAGGGGTGTTATCATGGAGACCCATGCATGTTATCCTGCCTTGGTGCAAACAAAAGGCTGTAGCCCCCAAAGATAACATGGACACCCATGCATGCTGGGATAGGGTACATATATTGGTGGGATCTGCCATGTGCTCAGACTAGCCGGGACCAGCCATGGATTAGGCCTGGGTCCTGTTCAGCCTGCCCCCCAGGCTAGGCCGAGGCCTGGGGGTGGACATGGGCTGGTTTGAGGGAAAAGGTTTCCCTGAGGGCTCCAACATGGAGGAGGCCTGGGATGCTGAAAGAGGAAGAGAACCGAGACCAGTGCAGGCTCTTGAAGTACCCTGGAACTATGTGGACTTCAGAGCATGGTCTGTGTCTTTCCTGATGGAGGATCTGCATCCATCGTGTCTGTCACATCAGTGGCTATCTGCTCCCAGGTGGATCTACACTGATACATCTACAAAGTCTGGTGAGTCTGGAGCTTCTGTTAGTCACCCTGGACACCTATAACCCCTATACCCTCTCTCTCCAGTGAAAATGTTTAATAAATCGTTCACTTAGCATTTTACTACTGGAGTGGACATCAGTTTATGGACACCAGAAGAAGGGCGGTTAGTGCTATTGGGTGGGCAGCTAAAGATCATCCCCTAGACAGACTAGAAATGAAGCGGGCATTCAGCGGCTCCTACGGGGGTAGCGCTACAAGGCTTTAACTGTTTCACTGCCAATGACAGCTATGGCAGAGCAAAACTGCTTGCAGCTTGCTGGCTCAGTAACCCTTACATCGGATGCATTCCTTTAGGCTATAAGCTCATGGTCGCTTCATCGTTTCATGTACAAACCCAATTCCCAAAAAGTTGGGTCGCTGTGTAAAATGTACATAAAAACAGAATGCAATGATTTGCAAATCTCATAGACCCATATTTTATTCACAATAGAAAATAGAAAGTATATCAGAACTTTAAAGTTAAAATAATTTACCATGTAAGAAAAAAATATGGTCATTTTGAAATTGATGGCAGCAACACGTCTCAAAAAACTTGGGACAGGGCCATGTTACCACTCTGTAGAATCCCCTCATCCTTCAACAACACTCTGTAAACGTCCGGAAACTGAGGAGACCAGTTGCTGGAGTTTTGTGAGAGGAATGTTGGCCCATTCTTGCCTGATATGGGATTCTAACTGCTCAACAGTCCTGGGTCTTCTTTGTCGTATTTGTAATTTCAAGATGCGCCAAATATTTTCAATTGGTGAAAGGTCTGGACTGCAGGCATCCCAGTTAAGCACCTGGACTCTTCTACTACAAAGCCATGCTGTTGTCATAGATGCAGTATGTGGTTTAGCATTGCCCTGCTGAAATATAAAAGGCCTTCCCTGAAAAAGACATTGTCTGGATATGAGCAATCGTTGCTCTAAAATCTGGATATATCTTTCAGCATTGATGGTGCCTTTCCACATGTGCAAGCTGCCCATTCCATGATGTCTATCACAGAATCATAGCTGTTTTTATTGCAGTGCCGTCTGAGGGCCCGAAAATCACAGGCATCCAATATTGCGTTTCGGCCTTGTCCCTAATTAGAGGAATGTCTAATTAGCATTGTGTCTGCTGTATCTCCACTACTGCTTCCTTTTAAGCAATATTTTCTCTGTTATTTGTAGGTACATTCAACCATACCGTACAGTGCTCTTCATTTACAGCTACCCAGCAGATCTTTGCTCATCGTTCTCACAGACATCTCTTGGTGTACACCATATCTTTAAAGATCACAAGGGGTTCCAGTCCTGTTAAAGTCAATCTTCAAACACACTTTAAAGGAGAAAGTGAAGATCTAGATCTTCAGAGAGGTCCTGACTACTGCAATGCTCAGTAAGTATATCAAAAGATTTTTTATCAGGTAACTCTACAGCACATATATGGGCCTGTCCAGGCATCTATTTTTTTTCATGTAATACTAGGATTGCCACCTTTCCTTTAAGGGAAACCCGAACACTCTAGCACCACGTGCAACCTTTTTTTTGTTTGAGAATATAGATGAGAGGCATCCAGGGGAGGGAGTAAGGGGACTATAGAGGACTACAAATCCCAGCAATACACTATATAGCAATACAAAATAATATGAAGCTACAAACTCTGTGTAGTTCCGTGGTGGCACCATGATGTTGCAGGGTCTCAGGTGGCCTGTGCGGGCTCTCAGGTGGGCTTTGTGGACTTTCAGGTGGGCTTAATAGGCTCTCAACTGGCTCATGTCTCAGGTGGGCTATACAGGCTTTGCTGTGCGGGCTGCACGGTATCTCACAGGGGGTCCGGAGGCGGGCAGTGTGACAGAGAAGGAGATGTGCGGGCCAGTCTGGGCCTGTTTACAGGTGCCAGCAGCTCACAGGAAGATGCTGATTCAGGCAGATGTGGCTGTCTGAGGGTCCTGCACTTGCTGGGGACCTTGGCAGGCGCATCTGTAAAAAATGTAAAGTGCCAGTATCGGCACTTAGTGTCTTGTGTCTGGATGTCAGCTGGCCTGACTCCCGGTCACAAGACTCAAAAACCGTAAATCCTGGACAGGTGGACTCTCCTTATCACATGCTTGATGTGAGCTCCAGCAAAACACACCTCCATAGCGATGAATGGTAATACATGAAAAATGTGTAAGCATATCTAAAAGGCACCATCAACGTGGAGGTTTGTGTATATAGCCTAAGTTGGGCTAATGCTTCCAGGCAGGCAAGTATCCAGATATTCCAACCATTCCAGCATGGGGAACAGGGCTTGGGCAGACTATGTAGTCCAGTGAAACTGCATGTAATCGTGCTCCTGTTTATAGGAAATCACTAGACAAGGAATTAATGAGATCATGTTATGAAGAGTTTGGGCGCTTTTATGGTATGTTTGCATGAATAATACTATATTTATTTTTAGGTTTTCGCTGTTTGTAAAATTAAAATTGTAAGCTCATTAAGAGGCATCATGTTAAAGGAGAACTATAGGGTCAGGACTGTCGAGATCCACCCAGCTGCGGGATTGACAGCTGGCTCTGCCTATCTAGAGGCAGAGCCAGCTGTGACCACCCCCTCCCCCGTCCATTCCGCCAGTCAGTGCTGGAGGATCGGACATGGGAGTGGGGGGATAGATCGAGAAGTGAGCGAGCAACGCTATGTGTTCGCTCACTTATCGATCTATTGAGCTGACCTGTGACAGTTTCATTGCCACAGGTCGACTAGAACTATGAGGCTGAGTGATTTACACTCGCCTCACAGTTCTCCTTTAAAGCTGCAAATTATCATTTTACATAATTTACCACATATTTGCCCATCAAGTCATTTGTTGTAGATACAAAGCATATTCACCTGTTCGAGTCACAGCTTGCAGTGAGAAATCTGGGTCTCAGTAACATACACTGAATAATAAATACATCTGCCAGGCTTGAGCCTTCTTGACCTTCATCTTTACCATTTGAAAAGATCAGATTAATTTATTTTCATTTTCAAAGTAGTATGTGAAGAAAATGTAGCTAATTCTAATTTCTCAGTGTCAAAGATACATATTGTTGTTATTTTCTGCAGGTACATCTATGGGAGCACACTGGTCCCAGAGGTTAAATCTTGTCCACTAAAGTCTGTCCACATGATTTACACTCAAGTTCCACAGTCTCTTGTCCTATCTTCTGAGCAGGAGAAGACTTGGGTGTTCCTCACAGCAGTAGCCGAGACAGAGCAGCAGGTGAAGGAGAAATATTCTGAGGGTCTTACTCTGGTTGACCAGAAGCAGTTGTACTCCTTACATGAAGAAGCCTGGACACAATTATGGGATGGATGCTGGATAGAAATAGAAGCATATCTGGCTCTCAAACAAGCTGTCTATGGTTGTCTGTATTATCTCCTGAGCTCCGTACCACTTTTGGGCTGTAATGAAGAGTTCAATGGAATTAGCCCTGGAGGTCTCTCTAATGGCCAGAGAAATGAAGATTACTGGGGACATGTTTTCTGGGATCAGGTTTGTCCAGTTATGTAATGACCAGGCCTCTTATGCTTTCTTCAAAACAGTGGGGAACTCCGTAATTAAGGGAGTATTGGCAAGCTATGGAGATCATTTTGCCCAGACTCTTCACAGCTTTAGGGTAGCTAAAAAATGGCCAGCAGACTCAGAGCTGCTTGGCTTTTTCTGGTCCAACACAAACAGGACTTTAGTAATTGAGTCATTTAATTTGTTTTTTAGTGCTAAAATCACGTCTTAAACATAAACTTTAGGCTAGCATCTAAATGCACAAATTATATACATGTAGAATGATAATGACCAAATTATTTTGTTTTTTGTCCATCCAGCCCTGAGATTTTGACAACCATGTCACACAGCACACGGAGTGGATGACTCCACTTTCTATGTTACAGTAAATAAATACAATAGTCAGTGAAAGAGCAGCAGAAGACTGATAAGTTAATCATTCTGTTAATTCTGCTCTCTTCTCCAGTCAACTTATTCCTTTTTAGGAAATTTGCATGCAGGACACATCATTGGGTCCCAGTGATGCCTCTCCTTCCAAATCAAAATCAGGTGCTTACACTAGTTTCTTAATAAATCTAATGATTTCTAAAATAAATACAGAGCTACATTAATTTGTGTCTCTTTATATCTGCCCAGGAATCCAGCTTTAAAGCAAAGACGATGAAGCTAAAATCTAATGAAAGAGCCACTTTGAACTACTTATTACAGTGGAAACCCCCTTAATACCAGTAGCTTTATGACACTAGGACTGAGACACTTTGGAAAGCCTGTTAAGCCACCTGGAACATTTGAATTTGCTTTAAAGTTAACCTGTCTCCAATAATAATTTAATCACTTGTCATCTACCTGTCCCTAAGCCTTTTTTTTTCCCTTTAATCCTTTTGAGTGCCAGAGCATTTTTTTTTTTGGGAAATGTATAGTTTCTACACCTTATACGTTTTAGCTTTTGTAGTCTACCACAACATATTATACATTGTTTTTGGGGGACAGATAGGGCTTTAATTTGATAGCAGCTTTACATACAAATATGTAACCGTTTCTTTGTGCCTTGGAAATCTTTATTTTCCAATCTCTGCATACTATACTCACCTCCCCTCGAACAAATTGATGTCCGTGAGCTTCCTCACAGGAAATGTTTTCTCGATCTTCTTCCGGGCTCAGTGTTTTCAGTCATCTTGATTGACTGAAGATTGGTATGTGCATGGGAGGTAATTAATCCCAGCACCTGACAGATACGGATATTGTACACTGAGCTGTGCATTGTACAGTCAATTCAATGTACATTCTTTTTTTGCAGAAGAAACATATAGAGTATCTTCTGCAATGAAATCCTTCCTGCCAGCAATGTTTCTTTTGAACGCTATGTTGCAGCTTGAGGAATCAGGGTCAATGCAGTAAAAGCAATGCCCTAAAAGCTAAACAAGGGCATGCTCAGATTGCACATCAATTGCTTTTTATGTATTATATTATATTTATATTCTAACTCTCTATCTATTGAAAAAATAACCTTCATAGACAGTATGATTATGTTGGATTATATTGAACTGACCTAGGCTTAGGCCTTAACATCCAAAGAGTAGGCGTTTTAGCTTTAAAACTGCCACCAGTCACAAGTGATCATTAAACCTTTAGAAGTGTAAAAGTGGCAAAGCCTATCTGCTCAGTACTTCAGTTTTGTCATTCAGGCATTGCTGCAGTGCACCAGTCAACACCAGTTCGTATTATCTGTAATCAAGTGATCTCAGAACCCCTACTTGTGATGCAGAAAAGAATTTCCTAAACTCACTTACTGAAAGCTCCCAGACATTTCTCATGTATAGTTTACATGATCAATAAAAATAGAAACCACCATTAAGATTCGGGAGCCTTTGCAATGCCACATGTTGCAATGTTAGGTGCACTGTGGTGCCATAACTCCTTAATGAAACCCCAACGCACCTAGTCATCACATGTACATTTGTATCACACCACATTGCATGGTAACCTATTGGTGTCATTGTCTACAAATGACTTGCAAGTTTTTATATGAAATAATAATAATTTTGTCTGCACTAAATAAGGACACTTGGATATATCCGAACATTCTACTGTTTTACCCAGAGATGGCCCGTCATATCCTTAAATACAGGATTCGGACACTGGAGGGAGCAATGCAGAATGCTGAACAGCAAGGATATAAAGTGAGTACCGTATATAGTAAAGAGTTTTTTTTTACATTATGGATTCATTACATCATTGAGCATGAAATTAGTTTGATTTGAATTTCTAGCCTTGTCTGATTGTTGAAAATGCTGGGGGTGTAGATGTACAAATGTCTGGGTCTGTATAGCCAACTCTGTTACCTGCCATAGAAAGTAGACATGTGCACGGCTGAAAATTTCGATCCAGATTTTTTTTTCATTTTCGGAAATTCGGATCCATTTGATATTCATTATTTGGATCGATCTGAAGTTTTCAGAATTTAGATCTAATTAAATCTTTTTAAGTTTAGTTCTGTTTGGAGTTTAGTATTTTGTTAAATGTGAAAATCGAAAAAAAACCCCCAAAAAACAGCGTGGCTCATCCCTCCTAAATTTATACCAGAGGTCTGGTAGGAATTTTAGGGGGGACCCCATGCCAAAAAAAATAGCATGGGATCTCCCCAAAATCCCTTACCAGAACCTTGATTTGAGTAGTGGTCTGGCAGAACAAGAAAGGGGGGAACGGGACGATCATACGCTTTCCCCCCTGCACCATACAAGGCTACATGTTCTCAACATGGGGAAGGGTCCCCATATTGATGAGGACAATGGCCTCTTTCCTACAACTCTGGCAAGGTGGTTGTGGCAGTCTGCGGGCAGGGGGGCTTATCTAAATCTGAGTGCCCCCTTTTGTAAATGAGTAAGTGGTGGTTGTTACCCATACTCATTCACCGAATAACATTAAGGTAGTAAATAAACACACCACACAATTTTGACAAGTCCTTTATTAATTTTAAAAAAAGTCCCACAATGTAAATGCATAGTCAATCATGTCGTCCAGCGATGTATCAATCACAATGCCCGCCACTCTCTAACCCGACAAAGCAAAAAATCCCCGTTGCCCACCGCCTTGTTCGCACTCGCCGAACACTTACTGCTCCTCTACTGAATGTAAACAAAGGGGGGTGGAGCAAGTCCGTCACGCTGATGTCACAAACTTGATTTGCCCCTTTATTTACATTCAGATTTCTTTCAGACAGGGATTTTTTCTTTAGTCGGGTCAGCGAGTGGTGGGCATCCTGAATAACGAGGATCTACATAGCAGGGTGACGTGACTGACGATGTATTTACATAATGGGATGTTTTATTGGGGGGAGGGTAATTAATAAAGGACTTGTCAAAACTGTGTAGTGTGTTTTATTTACTATATTAATGTTTATTTGGTGAATGAGTAGGGGTAACAACTACCCCTTACTCATTTATG